AGGGCCGGTTACTCAATGTCTGGTTAACACTAATCTCCGGTAAAACATCGTTATCGACGTTACCGACTCCATGTTATATGCATGGAGCCGAACACGTCGATAATGATGTTTAAACGGATATTAGTGTTAACCAGACATTGAGTAACCGGCCCTTAGAGTAGCATTTAGAGCTAAATGCGCTAAATGTGCTTTTACGCGTAAGCAAAAACATCCCATTAGCGAAAGGAGGCCAAAATTGATGAAAAAATTCAAGAGGGGTATCAATCAACGCGTTTTAATGCGCACAACAATCACCCGAGACCGGAAATTCACATTTTTAATTCATTAAAGAGTTATTCGCAANCTGTATACGCGAAAAAGCAATGTTGCCACCTTTTCTCATTTAGGGCCGGTTGTTCAATGTCTGATTAGCACAAATCGGAGGCAGAAGCTCCGGTTAAGCACAACTACTGCTTTATTGATCACATGTTACATGCATGATGTCGAAATCGTCGATAGTGTAGTGGTAGTGATAACCAGACATTGAACAACCGGCCCTAAACCATGTTCGAATCGTGGAAATTTTGGAAGATCACAGGGTTGATTTTAGCATTTAGATTCTTAATGCAAAAATGGAGTTGCATTTACTTGCATTTAGGTGACGAATTTTGTATGGATAAATGTACATTTAGGGCCGGTTACTCAATGTCTGGTTAACACTAATCTCCGGTAAAACATCGTTATCGACGTTACCGACTCCATGTTATATGCATGGAGCCGAACACGTCGATAATGATGTTTAAACGGATATTAGTGTTAACCAGACATTGAGTAACCGGCCCTTAGAGTAGCATTTAGAGCTAAATGCGCTAAATGTGCTTTTACGCGTAAGCAAAAACATCCCATTAGCGAAAGGAGGCCAAAATTGATGAAAAAATTCAAGAGGGGTATCAATCAACGCGTTTTAATGCGCACAACAATCACCCGAGACCGGAAATTCACATTTTTAATTCATTAAAGAGTTATTCGCAAAAAACACTTGCACTTTTCGCACTATGTTTTGATGAATTTGACGCAAATAAATGGAGTAAATGAGCTTAACTGAACACATATTCATTAATTTTTATACGTATGTGATGTTTTAGGTGTACACTTTCGCGAAATTCTGTATTTAATAGCAATATTCCGATGGTGAAAATCCGCACCACAATCTTGCGTGGTTAATATAAATAACATGGACGAAAACTAGTGTTGCCACTCTATTAAAAATTAAATGGAACTAAATTGCTACTGCCACTCTATTAAAAAAGTTTTTGTCCGTCCAACTCCTTTTTGCGTAGGAGGCCTTCGGCCGCGCTAAGGGATTATAACCCTCACACCGTAGAATTCTCCTTTCTGTGTTGCCAAAGAAAAGGGGCAGAACACCTTTTGCAGAGAAAACTTTTCTGCGTAGGCGGCCTTCGGCCGCGCTTAGACATTATAACCCTCACAACGTAGAATTCTCATTTCTGTGTTGCCAAAGAAAAGGGGCAGAACACCTTTTGCAGAGAACACCTTTCTGCATCGGCGGCCTTCGGCCGCGCTTAGGGATTATAACCCACACAACATAGAATTCTCTTTTCTGCGTGCGAAGAAAAGGAACAGAAATCCTCTTTTTACAAAAGTATATTTCTTGTGCATTATTTTGGTGTTTTCAAAGTTGAAATACAAATTGTATTAATCTTATCTATATCTTATTTATATTAACTACACAAGATTGTTGTGCGGATTTTCACCATCGGAATATTGCTATTAAATACAGAATTTCGCGAAAGTGTACACTTAAAACATCACAAATGTATAAAAACTAGTAAGCACGTGTTAAATTAAGCTCATTTATTCCATTCATTTGCGTGAAATTCATCAAAACAGTGCGGAAAGTGCAAGTGTTTTTTGCAAATAACTCTTTAATTAATTAAAAATGTTAATTTCCGGTCTCGGACTGTTATTATTGGCGTTAAGACGCGTCGATTGATACCACTGTCGAACTGTTTCCATCCATTTTGACCTACCTTCGCCAAAGTACACTACTACCTTTAAATGCAGCAAAAACGCTGCATAAAGAATGCAGTTGTAATATTTTATGGGCTGTTTTTGCTTACGCGTAAAAGCTCATTTAGCGCATTTAGCTCTAAATGTACATTTATCCATACAAAATTCGTCACCTAAATGCAACTAAATGCAACTCCATTTTTGCATTAAGAATCTAAATGCTAAAAGCAACCCTGTGATCTTCCAAAATTTCCACGATTCGAACATGGTTTAATGAGAAAAAGTGGCAACATTGCATTTTCGAGTATACAGTGGCTAGCTGCGTTTCAGTGATCTCCGACTGAGATTTCATTTATTGTTTTACATTATTTGGATAAACAAAAATTACGCAAATTCAACATCGATGTGATGCTGATAGAAATTTGGATCAATTTGTGATCAACTCCGATTGTTTTGTTTCCTAATTAAGTGAGGAAATTTTATTTGACAGCACCGACAAATGAATATATACACAAACAAATTTACGGTTATGGTTAAAACAATTCAATTTTTTCTATTGAGTTTGGATTTTTTTGGTTAAAAATTTATTTTTTCCTTTTCAGTAGGGTTTTTTTTGCACATTATCTTTTCCGTGAGAATTGATCGTAATAGATACGGATCTGAATAAGCGACTGGAACACGGCTGTTTGTCAAAAGCATACGATTTCGAACTCGCGTAAATGTACATTTGCTAAATGCTGTAGCATGAACGCTCTTCGAAAACATATGTTCGAAAGTGCTAAATGTTGCATTTTAAATGCAGCAAAAACGCTGCATTACCCGAACTTTTTCTTCTGGTAAAATCATGAAAAAAAAGTGTCAAGCGATCACTGGTTGACATTTTTACAGGAAAAAATGATTTTTTTTGTTCCCGTACTTTTTGTTGTTACTCACTTTTTACTCGCACTTCAGAGAGTAATTTTGCTGTTTGACAGTTTTATAGGATTTTTCACGAAAAGTATTGGGTCAGAGCTACTGCTTAAGAGCGCTACTAGTGCGTGTGCTCCTTAAGATAGAATTATCGGTTTTGTCGATATACTGTGCCGGCTTTCAACCTCGAGGCTTTTTCTAATTGTTTTGGTTTCTTTTTCAAGCTCATATTTAGATCATGAATCTGTATTAATTATTGAATCATGTATTTAGAACGCATGTTAATAGGACAATAAAAATATATTCTGGCTACTAAACGTTTGCCAATAGCAATATGTGGACTTTATTAAGTAGAAGCATGACTTTCAGGGTTAGAAAACGTTTAATTAAACATTTCACCCTGCCACCAAGTGTTGACAATAATGTGGACCCAAAGGTTATGTTTGAATTCAAAAAACATTTGAGGAACCATCGCTTGCCATTCAAAGATGGAGCCACATGTTTGCAGGTGGAATGTTATTTATGTGTTAATAAATCTGCTATAGATGCTTATATAAATAAACGCACCGGTGAGTTCTGAACCATGTAAAGTAAAATTTTTTCTTATGCAGGTTATTTGCAGGGCTCTTCCTTTGTCCCAATTGTGATGTGAAGAAAAATTTAACAGACGTGCTCCCTTTATATGAAACAAAGTGCAGAGGCGATGCAAAGTACAAAGATGTGAACTATGAAACTAAATTCACAACCTTACAACCAATTTCACAAAGCATATGTGATAACCTCGGAATTAAGGGTCTTAAATCTACAGACTTGGACTACTTGGGAGCTCAATATGAGTCCACTCTTAATATCCTTAGCTTCCCTATACGTAATGTCGCAAATAAGATCGTGGGTGAGAAAATTCTTTATTTATCCGATAAGACTGAGGAAACAATAGAGAATTTTAATTATTCTGGTTTACTGATATGCAGTTCAGCTCATAAAACCACACGAGTGGTTTTGGTATCGAAACTAATGGACTTCATGGTGTTAGCAATGCAGCGCTTGAGTAACAGTAGGTAATTTTAAACTTTAAACTGCCTAAAATCAAAAAGCTGAATGTACATACGCACATTGGGCCTTACCCAGTAGATAATTTCAGGAGCTAAAAGCCCTTCCGAAAGGCCTTCCTGTGAGTCAGGAGGCCTTCCACTCCACATTCCTTCCTTTTTTGTATGGAATGTTTTTTTTTGATGGGTTGAACCGGGTTTGAACCCAGGCCCTGAGGAATGGTAGCGCACACTGCTAACCACTACACCACAGCAGCCGTCACCAGAGTTGATATTTGCTTTAACTAACATATGATTAATAATTCGCGCTTTTAATATATTTTTTACCTTTTTCTTTATAGCTTCAATTGCATGTTTACCGTATGGCCTAAAAACACTGCCTCAAGAATGTTTGCCATGCCTTGAAAAATTTAAAGAGGTTGTGTTTTGGTTTGACTTTGATACGCCAAATTGGGACGCGGCGAAGAATTTTTCAAAAAAGTTGGAAGATAAACGCTGTTTTTTCATACGACCGACTGATACTGAACCAGCTCCATTCGAAGCTCACAGGAAACGACTCAATTTGCAACATATTCTGAACAAAGCAACACCTATGTGCCACAAATCTATAACCACATTTAGCGCACTAAAAAATGATATTCTTAGTGAGCTGCAAAACATTGAAAAAGTCAATGGCGTAAAGTGGAAACGGTATCCTATGTTGAATAAAATACTTAAAGGCCACCGAAAAGGAGAATTAACAATACTAACTGGTCCTACCGGCAGTGGAAAGACGACATTTATGAGCGAATATTCTTTGGACTTGGCTTTACAAGGAGTCTCAACGTTGTGGGGTTCTTTTGAAATCCGAAATTGCCGGCTAGCCGCAACACTCCTCCGACAATTTGTGGGATATTCTCTCGAGGATAAGCTCAATGAGTTTGAATATTGGACAAGTGCATTTGAGCGTTACCCGCTGTATTTCATGACATTTCATGGTCAACAACCGCTTAAATTAGTCATGGAAGCCGTTGAACATGCTCAATATGTACATGACATTAGTCATGTAATAATTGATAACCTACAATTCATGATGGGAACATCAATGACTCTGAAAAGCGACAAGTTTTGGGAACAGGATGCTATAATATCTGCTTTTCGATCTTTTGCTACTAAAAATAATGTTCATGTTACTTTGGTTATGCATCCCCGCAAAGAACGTGCTGAAGAGGATCTCACAGCTAGCTCCGTATTTGGAACAGCAAAAGCTACACAAGAAGCAGACAACGTCCTTATTATACAAGACAAGCGTTTAACTTCGATTCGGGGTAAAAAATACCTACAAATTGTTAAAAACCGGTACAGTGGCGACTTGGGAATAATGCCACTAGAATTTGACAAAGAATCTCTGAGTTACTCTCTGTCAAACAAGAAAAAAAAAGCAAATAGCTGAAAACCATATTTTTACATAAGTTAACTTATTTTAAAGTGTAATTACATTGTACATTTTTTGTTAAATATTTATGTTTAAGTAAAAAAACATAATCCTTTTAAGTTGAACTTTGTTTATAATTCTTTATATCAAGAAGCTTCTTTCCACACATGGCGCAGATTGCTTTTTTGTACGCACATGCCTGACAGTAATGGGAGCCAATCTGATGCACTTTTTGTCGACATATCCTAGAAAATGTAGCCTGTAAAATTCCGAGAAAAAGACAATTCTACATGTATGTATACCGACCTGCAGGGTGCTAAACTTTTAGAAATTGGATTTTGTCTGTCTCTCGCTGTCGACAAGGCCTTGTTCTCATTTATCTTTCTTTTCATCGAACCTGTTTTCCATGGATCCGGTGTTACAACTTTGGATAATTTAACTTCGCAGCGATCACAAACCATTTTGCCCAACTATTTGTTATTTTGTTTTCAAATTAGATATGGGTTAATTTCAAAAATCGATGTTCGGTTCGATTACACGGGGCTCACATCCCTACAAGAACAGTGACCCTGCCAGCCACGGCTCCCCACAAGACGTATTTAACAAGGTGATGGCCGTATATAAGTAAAAAATTACACTAACAAATTATACGCTGATGTCCATACTGTCATTGGTATGAGTTACAACAAACACATCATTTTGACGTAATGGCCTCCACGACGAACAACTCAGCTGTCGCCACAACACCACCTTGTTTAATACACCTTGGCTCACCACTTTCCCCTAAAATTCAAACGATTTACAACTTTTTAGTCATCTCACCCACACACTTACACATTTTTTGTTCGAACTGTCAAAAAAATGTCCCTTGGTTAGAGCTACATACCCGATAAGAATTCGTACTCTAATAAGAATGCTATGCGTTAGAGCGAGCCAGTTAGAAACATCGGAATTTTGATGACAGTATACATACTGTGAAGAAATGTCACTTTGCGAAAATTTGGAAGGTAAGAATACGTATTTAACAATTTTATTTAATTATAATGTAATTTCTTCTTTTAGATTGCAAAACAGCAGCCACTTAGTCACATTCTTAAGGTATGTATTGAGACTTTTTATATGTTTATAAATTTTCAGTGATATTTTTGTTTGTTTACAGATTTGGGATTCACCATCAGCACCTTCAACGCTTGCATCTCCGTCGCCAGGAGCACCATTAGAACCTTCTGCCCTCAGCTTCTTCATCGCCAGGATCACCACCAGTACCTTCTTCCCTCAGCTCCTTCATCGCCAGGAGCACCATGGGTACCTTCCGCCCTCAGCACCTTCAACTACAGGAGCACCTTCAAAGTGTAGGTCCAACTTGTCAAATTTTGCAAAGTTGTAAGAAAACTTAATTTTTCTGAACCACCATAAATGATTTGCAACTCTTAGGGCCGGTTACTCATTGTCTGGTTAACGCTAATCTCCCGTTAAACATAGTTATCGACGTTACCGACTCCCTGTTGTATGCATGGAGGCGAAGACGTCGATAACGATGTTTAACCGCAGATTAGTGTTAACCAGACATTGAGTAACCGGCCCTTAATATATATTAAAAGAAAGGTAAACCGATTATCTTTCTTTTGATTATAACACCGTTAAAATCGCTTTAAGTTTTCATAAAAACTTTGCAACTTTTGTAAACAGCTATATATAAGCAGTGGAAAAGTGGTAAAATTTTGCAAAGTTGTAACGAAACTGAATTTTTGTGCACCATTACAAATTATTTGCAACTGTCAATATATATTAAAAGAGAGGTAAATCGATTACCTTTCTCTTGATTATAATACTGTTAAAATCGCTTAAATTTTTTAAAATATAAAATTTGCAACTTTTTAAAACATATATATGCATAGGAGTAGTAGTAATAATAAGCAATTAAGCAACCACATATGTATGTAAAAATATCTTTATTATTAATGTTATTTGTAATTTTTATTCATAATATTGATTACTAACTATGTATATTAGGTTAACAATGCATTTTGGAAAATAAATTTTGCAAAATAAAAATCAAAAAAAAATTCAAGATTTTTTATTTAAAGTTTTTAAGGTTATTTTGAATTCGCTGTGAAGAGAATGCAACCCTGTGCCAGCTGAAGTGGGCAATGCTAGACGAGTGCAGCTATATGTTTTCCTTACGAAGTATCTGAATGAGATCGACAGTGATGCTAGGCTCACACGTACAGGGGGAAAGTGGTGACAATCTGCACACCGCCCATAAAAATGTCACCAGTTTTGAAGTGACCGAAACCCGCGGTTTCACCAGATTTTTCACCACTTTTGGCTGGCAGGGCATAGTCATTTGATTAATCATATGTAACCGGCCGTCTTCACATGCTTGAAAATCTCGCTTGCGTTCTGCTTTTTTCTCTCGCAAGCGTGATAGAGTTTTGTTGACTGCGCATTTGACAGCATACTTTTTCATTTGTAAATGTCGCCAAACAAGACGGTTCAAGCCTTGCAGGCTCTTAAAAGTTTGAGAAAATTAGAAAATCTGCATAAAGAGATGTATACTATTTTCAAATGAAAAATGGCTGCCTCTAAACTTGTATTTGCCTCCAAAAGAAACGATGTTGCTACTCTGAAGAATTCTGCGAAATGAGAACATAGCAGTCAAACAACAAAAATGACAGTAGAAAGCAAGCGAGAGCTTGCATACCGCTCGGTATGCGAGAAAAAGGCATGCTTCGTACTTTTTGCGGTCTACACGTGCGGTTTCTCGCATGCGCCGTCACGCAAGCGAGATTTTCCAGCACGTGAAGACGGCCGGTAAAAGTATGTTCACATATCAATTGAGGGATTCACAACCATGAACCAAAAATACAAGATCACGTAAGAACGCGACGTTGTATTTGTAACTGGTTTTGAGAAAAAAGTTTGCGAAAGCGGGTTCGTCACCTGAGCGTTTGTTTACATCACAAGCACCACTATTTTACACTTTTATTCAAGTAAAAAAGAGTTAATTCAACATGACAACACATTTTAAAGCATTTTGTTGCATCATTTTACCTAAATTGTGCGTTTAAAGTGTCTGACAATAATTTTGGCTAATTTTGGTTTTCGTTGTTTTCTTTGCTTTGTTTACTTTTCGCTCGTTTTCCAGTGAAACAAGATGGCGTAGAACCCGCAAAAAAAATCGACTTTTTTCACTCTCTTGTTCTTACGTGATCTTGTGTCTTTCGTTCATGATTCACAACGGTGTCGTATTGTTGTATGTCGTAAACTTTAAAAGCTTAAAGAAATGTATAGAGCACTTGAAACCACAACCAACAATTTTTTAACACTGCGAAAACTTATAATATTACTTTGACGGTACTTTGCGAACCCCCTTAATATATTTTTTGGCGTTTAACCCTTGGATTCAGCAATTAGGGACGCAAACGATGCATCGATATTTTTGAAACATCGATAACATCGGTTCAAAGCTCGATGTTTGCCATCGATGTTTACAAGTTTCTAAAATTGCTAAATTGACGATACATCGATGCCAGTTTCAGCGATGTTTTAACATCGACTTTAGTGTGATTCAGACTTGAATTCAACTTACCCATTATCCTCCTAAAATTTTTTCCCTGGCTATGAATTTTATTACTTATTCTTTTGGGGAAAATTCGGAAATTCCGTGTATACCCTTATCTTTCGATATTAAAAATGCGTACATAATCATTAAAAAAGGACCGGGTTCCCGTTGAAATTTCAACGAAATTGGGGCTTGGAACTTTAGGCTCGGCGATCTTACGACGGCATGCATTTTTATTATATTTATAGGAAGGGCAAAGGAATGGTAAATAAATACAGGGAAATACATCCATATTGTGGCGAATACTGCGGCAACACAAAGCGAACAACGAGAAATAGGCAGAATGTTCGAGGAATGACGTAGAATGTTCCACAAAGAGATTCGTCAAGTTGGATGAACACTGCGAACAGCGAGAGAACGAGAATGAGCGATAAACTTCAGAACGTTCTAGAGTTGCCATAAGTGTGAGCGCAGGTATATAAGAGCCACGACACAGCGGAGTGGGGACAGTTACAAGTCAGCAAGCTACAAGT